TTCCTTTTTTTTTTTTTTTTTTTGAATTTAAATCATCTTGGATCGGTTGTCATGAGAGTGACATTGCTGGGTCAGGACCTTGGCGTTGCAATGGTGAGGTTCAGGGTTTGATTCCGTTGGTGCTCAACCGCTCCTGCGCACAATCAGTTGGTGCTAGGTTGGCACTCCACGCACTTGTCCCCCAGCCCGCAGCCTACCGTCTTCCCCCGAACACAACGCACCCACATTTTTTACTGTATCTGGCCGGAAATGTAGCTTGTATACATTCATTTTTAGGGTGCATTATGTTCGGGGGAAGACGGTAGGACAGCGCATAGACATATCCGCTTGACTGAGTAGCTCAGTGTGTGTGTTGAGCTACAGGGTGCTGCAGTGGAGGAAAGTCCAGGGTTCGATTCTCTAGGCTCTTCAGAATCACTTAGTACGGATATAGCTAGGGGTTCAGGCAGGGATGGCCCTGGTAGGCCTACCGTCTTCCCCCGAACATAACGCACCCTGATAATGAATGTATACAGACTATTTTTCGGGACAATGAATGTATACAGACTATCTTTCCGTCCCGATGCAGTCAAAATGGTAGGCCTACTGTCTTCCCCCGAACATAACGCACCCTGATAATGAATGTATACAGACTATCTTTCCGTCCCCATGCAGTCAAAATGGTAGGCCTACCGTCTTCCCCGAACATAACGCACCCTGATAATGAATGTATACAGGCTATCTTTCCGTCCCGATGCAGTCAAAATGGTAGGCCTACCGTCTTCCCCCGAACATAACGCACCCTGATAATGAATGTATACAGACTATCTTTCCGTCCCTATGCAGTCAAAATGATTGTGCGTTGTGCTCGGGGGAAAACGGTAGTGGAGTGGATGACAGATCCGTTGAGTGAGTAGCTCAGTGTGTGTGTTGAGCTACCGTCTTCACCCGAATAGAACGCCCTGTTATTATAGCTGTGTATCTGGACTGAAAAGTGCACCAAATACGGCTATAATGACCGGGCGTTCTATTCCGGTGAAGACGGTAGGGTGCTGCAGTGGCAGTGAAGGGAGGTCCAGGGTTCGATTCTCAATCGGCCCTTTACAATTCACATAGTAGGCTAGGCTACCAGCCGGGCCGCCCGGGTCAGGCGGCCCGGCCGTGCAAGGACCAGGGAAGGTCCCATCCAAAAAAAAAAAAAAAAAAAATCCAAAAAATCCGAAAAAAAAAATGTTATGCACAAAAATAAACTGAACAACTTTTGCCTCAGGGTCACATCGAAATTCTTTACCAAATTTTAAAATAAAAATTTAAATTAAAAATGATTTTATTTTTTTTATTTTTTTTATTTCTTCTTTGCCCGGCCGTGCAAGGACCAGGGAAGGTCCCAGCCAAAAAAAACAAAAAAAAACAAAAAAAGGAAAAAAAACAAAAAAATCCAAAATATCCAAATGTTACGATCCTGGTCATTTCCCAAGTGCAAATTCACAATGAAAGACAATGCCACCCAATTGCGAAAGAAATGAAAGCACTTGCAAAGAGAT